GGCATTTTAATTGTTATTGGATTTCCGTCTAGTTATAATCTATGTCTACGTCTATTCAATTTTCGACAATTCGCAGTTAGTATCATTTTTCTTTGCAGTAATGTATTCCCAGACATTCCTCTAAGTACGTTACGTTTACGTGATGAATCATCAATGATTGGAGTAAACATTGAAATGGAGCCTGATTTCCATGCGGGTTCCTTATATGCAATTGTTGGTTTTCGAAAATTCGATAGAGGAAATCCAACGACGGAAGATCGATATCAGTCTCATCATCTGCTGTGGTAAAATCGACTTGCAGGAATAATTACAGATGTGTTCAATAAGTGTAGGAAAGTTCTGAATTTATGAACTGGAATGTCGGGATTTCATTAAAGAGAAGAAAGGTAATATGAGATAATGCTGGAATCTAGGGACAATGAGTTTCAGAAGGTCTTTCATCATCAAACTGAAAGCAACGAAGAGAATTGTTTAATATCTATCAGTAGTGATAATGCAATCACAAAAGATTTTCATAGCTTTGTGTGGAAAGGCGAAATGAAAGGAAAATTAATTTTGAAACGATTTACTGGAATTCCTGTAAAAGATTGTAATTCCCTTACTCCTAAAGCTCATCTGCGAAAGCTTACCGAGTTTCGACGATGGCAGCGAAGTCTTCAGGTCATAGATTTAGTTAAAGCATCCCCTGAGGTGGATAGGCTGAGCGAGATAGGACTCAGGGCTAAACAAGCTCCATCTGCCCGAGTTTGGGATCAGAGTTGTTCTTCCCTTAAATTATCTGAAGGCTAACGAGCCCATCTTATTCGTGAAAACACTCTGTCTGGCCCTCCAATTAAGACCTGTTTGGCATGGGAGGTCCTACCGGAAGCGTTTACCACCGCAAGCATAGTTCGTAACCTTGTAAGGACAAGCAAGCATTTCCCCCGCAATAAGAAGGTATCCGTGACGAAGAAATTAACTATAGGTACCGATCAAAGGTAAATGTCTATTTATTCTTTATGGACATAAATTTGTCTATTTAACATACATTTTGTTAATTGTTTCAACTCTATCAATATGCATTTCATTCTATTTATATCGGTATTTATCACATCACTAACAGCACTCATTCTCAATCACTGTTGGACATGTGGACACATTATTTTCAACTCTTTAGGAACTTCGCGAACACATTTGGTACACCAGCACAAATTTGAAATGAACAACCATTATCATCAACCATCAATAATCTGACAAGATAACAACTGCATGTCCATCATTTATTCGTGAGTTTGTCTTCCTTCCTCCTTGTCACGAGGATCATTTTAACTACTTATCGACCATATTATGTTTCTCCTTTCTGCTGCTTTTTTTTGTGATTCAAATGGAAAATATGCTATTCATGAACAACAACCATTATCACCAGTGTACTACGGTATATGCCGCTCGCTGCTGTAACCGCCATCCGATTGACTGCTTCCATTAATTGGGCGACGTTGTCTTTCATTGAAAAAAAATATGAATTCTTTTAAATTAAATTCATTGATAGTAAGTTCCACTAACATATTATTTATAGCATGGAAATTAATCCAAAATTAGCTGATACTGCTAATAGGTTGACATATTACAGTGATAGATCGAAAATCAGCCAATATTATCTGATCTGAATGGATCCTAAAACTGCAACACATCCTTTCTACTTAGCTTCAGACTTCAGTAATATATATCATCAGCAGCAACTCAATGTTCAGAGCACGGACGAGGGGTATAATAAGTTCATCACTAGCTGTTGACATTGCATCGTATCATCTCTTTACAAGTGAAGTCCGATTATGGAGAACATAACAATAAGTGAGATCTTCTATTCATGCTCACAGATCTTCCAATCTTCTCTCTGTCATATATTGATTTCATCAAAATGTTTACAGGTAAATAAAAAATGTTTACAGGTAAATGTTTACAGGTAATTGCAGGTAATTTCCAGTTATACTAGTACATCAGAAGAAAATTGATAATTCACTTTCATATACTAATTTTAATTTAAATAAATATATAACTCATGTGATGTACTAGTATAACTGGATGAAATTAACTCGCAAATAAGTCTTTGATCCATCATGATAAGTATTTTCGTTCTGGAAGTAATTAGGAATTTGATGCAACTTTTGCTGAATAGCATATTAGTTGGCAGTGCAAATGTCAACGTTTCTTTGGTATAAATCTTTCTTTTCTGATACATTTTGAAGATTAGTCATTCTTTTGATATCTGAAAAGTTTACCACAACATTTCGACCTATTTTTGAGAGATTTAAATCAAAAATTAGGTATAGAAAAAGAAGATGAGAAGTGAAAATATATTAATCTTAGAAATTTGCATATATTTCATAACGTAGATACTTGAATCATAAATAATTCAGATAATAAATATTTCCCATATGTGACAGTAAAAGTGTTCCAATGCAAGAGTAAGAGAATGATTGTATTCTATCGATATGCGATTGCAATTTCAATATCATATGTATAATATATAGAAAACTTGGTGATTATAAATCAGTCAGATAATTTCAGTGATTGGAATATCGAAAGCAATTCCCAGTCAATCTATAAATGAATTTCTGAAAAACTTGAGCCTTTGAAATTAGACGCTCAGCATAAAAATTAATAATTTCTTTACATTTCCACCAATAGGCTAAGTATAAAAATAGGTTAAAGCCATTAAGATATAACATGTTGATTTGATGTAATGATAACCACAATGAACAGGTGTTAATTACAATCAATAAAAAGTCAATAAAAAGCTAATTTTCAATCGCTAAGTAAAAGAGGATAAATTACAGGTAAATCATTGGGAGAATTAGGTTTCATCATTTCGCAATGTTGCACATGTTGATTTAATATTTACTATATTTTTTCTTTGAGGAAATTTGATCCCTAAATATTTTATCATAAAGAATTGACATGTCAATTAAAAAGTATCCAATAATGGAGAAGCTTGCTGAGAACCATGTTTGCGTTACTATTAATCAAATTGTTTCACTCGATATTATTCTTAATTAGATAATTATTGATAATTAGATTGTTCGATCTTGATGATTCACGATCATTTCAACATTTTCACTTTATATTTGTTTATATGTTAACATTTTGTTTATTACCTGTCAGGATTCTTCCTTTTTCCTCATTCATACTTCTTTGTATTTGCATAATACTTGCTGCAATTTTCAAATGTCATATTTACTGGAATTATAAATAGCTGGTAATATATATGGAAATTAGATTAAAATCGGTGTAATTCAATAAAGCATTCAAAGGCAAGAAGCAGATATAAATTCTGAACGAAGTGTTGCAAAAAAAGGAATGAAATTTCAAATGTAACCTCAGAAATGGCAAAAGATTGATAATAATCGAATTGCATTTCTAATATTGGATGGTATGCATTACCAAATTTTAAATTATTTATAGATTTATTATGCGAAAACTATGAAATTTTACAATCTTTTGTCAAATAATGATTAAATACCTTTAAATGAATATTTAAATTCCAATGACCAAATTTGGTTGTGGAAGATTCAGTGTTATTTGTTTAATACTTTCAATTTCATTTTATTTTGAATATTTTATTAAATATTCGGTAATATCTGGATCAATATTAAATAAAAAGTGCAGGAACTTTTCCTGGAAGATAGTCATGGAAGTCTAATTTTTGGTTAATTTTTAATTGTCCAAGAGTAATATAATTCCTAAATTTTTGATATTTTTTCATGGATTTCAGAAAAAAAAAGTGAAAAAAAAGAAGCAGATAGTACGCTAAATTTATCAAATAAACATCTAAGAGTTAATTGAAACATACGGTATAATATCTTCAATTTTGATTAGCGATGAAACTCACAAAAAATTTGAAAGAAAATTTCTTTAGCCTGCGTATGTAAGCATTTCTCTTTTTTTTCGTGGAAAATTTAACTTCATTGTTGTTTAAGTTAATTTTAGCTTCATCTGCTAGAAATTATTTATTTTAAAATTATTTAAACAAATATATTTCAGGGTAACAATACAATAGCATATATTATATTAACTAATTGAGAATATTAAATACTTCAAAAATGAAATTGTCATGTTATTATTTACAACCAAGAAATAAAATTGGAAAAATAACAAAAATTTGTACAAAATATGCAATTCAGCGAAAAATGCAACCATTTTAAGGATGAGGGAAAACCAAATTATTCAAAAATTTCAAAATTTACGACCTATCAAAATTTCGGAAACACTTTCAAAATTTTACTGGAATGACAAAATTTTAATAGTTCAAGTCAAAAGGTCATTCTTTTTTTCCCAATATCTGTTTGTTTTAATAATAAGTGTATGTGATATGTTTCATTCCATCGCTATTATTGCTGGTATTAATTAACATAGTAAGCCTGATTAATATTTCAAGAAATAAATGGGAAAAAAAAAAGGTAATTTGAATAGACTCGCTTTGCTAATACAACTTCATAGAATTATCAATAATACTGCTAAATTTTCAAAATATTCTACAGAATTTATTAGCTTTTAAAAAATTCGTTTTTTAAAAAATCGAATATTTGGTGTCACCTTAACATAACTCAGTAAACTGTCAAACTTTTAAAAATTCAACTTATTGAAACAAACTTCTAAATATTCGGCTTGAAAAAAAAAAAATAAAACGAATTAATGTCATTATAATAACGATCAGAAAAAAAAAAAAAAATAAAACGAATTAATGTCATTATAATAACGATCAGAAATGTTTAACTACCATATCTTCTCATTATAAATTCGTTTTGTCTGACGATAATATCAAATAAATAAATTAGAATAAATTAGTGTTTCATCAATATATTTTCATTTAGTATTATTGAATTAATTCAGTATTTCATTAACAATTAATTTAATGAGAGGTTCCTTCATAAATACGAATATTCAATTTTTGATTTCACTCCATAATCTTGTTATATTTGATTGGATCATTTTAATGGACTCTTTTTTGTTTATTTTTCTTTTTTTTGGTTTTTGATTATTCAATTGTCGTGATCGTAAATGTTGTCGCCACCATTTCTGAATGATTAATGCGGCCAAATTTCGTAATTGATATGGAAATAATCCACCATTACGCAACAAATAGTTGACAATCTGGAAAAAGCAAGAATGAAAAAAGTATTTAATTATTTTATTCAAGTATATTTTACTCATTAACATTAGCATAATCGGTGAAGTTTAGGCTGGAGCTTATATCCTCTTTTCAAGAAAAAGCTGGAATATTTTATCATCCGATTATATCTAATTTAGAATCACAAATTTCTTTTGATCAATTTTTGATAATTCTTGCTGCTTAATTAGTTGTTGGTAATTTTTGATGATTCATGATTAAAATCATAAATTTCCTTGATTATCAAAAAGTTTCTTATCAAAAAAGAAATTTTCAAATTATTAATTGAAAAAAGATTTGCCTTACTGCATAGCTATCCGTCTTCTCCTCTTTTTTTTCCGTTGTTTGATCAGGTAAACGCAGATGAAGAAAGCGGAAGGAATTCAATTCCTCACTCCTTCTGATCCTTTCTATTTTCTATTTAATCAATATATCTATCAAAATTTCCTATTAACCATAATTGGTTTAAATGAATGAATTAGCTACTCTTCCTACTTTTTAAAATTTACCTATCATTAATGTTTAATTAAGTATTCTTTTGATCTTCTAAATCTTACCTGTTGATGTCCATTAGCTTGTGCACAACTTAACGGTGTACAATCATCAATGCGTGCAAGTGCATTTACAGCTGCTCCACATTTCAGTAAATATTTTACACAATCATATTTACCTCTTTCACAAGCTATATGAATTGGTGTAAATTGATCTAAATCTTCCTTATGAATGAGAAAATCCTGAAAAAAAAAAAAGAATTTTATTGTTGTTACCATTAATTCCTTTATATTATGAAGTAATTGTCATATTTCTTTTAATGTAAAATTAAAAAGAAAGACTGAGATTTTCTTTCATTTTTTAAAAAATAATTAATTTAAAATCGAAATATACAAGTACTAATATTCGGATTCAATTATAATGACTGATTTCATTGAATTTCAAAACTTTTTACAATAAATCTTTTGTAGCTGCCATCTCAAAATTCGATAATTAAATGTTAAAAACTAACAGCTTTCATGATAAGCACTTCGATGCATGCAATATAACCACCAAATGCAGCACAATGCAACGCAGTTCGTCCAAGTTTATCCGTATGCGTTATTTTGCAATTCAATTCTGTCACCATAACGCTTAATGTATGCGCTTGTCCTCCCAAACATGCGTAAAATATTGGAGTCCTAAAATTTATGCAAAATTTATAACATAAAATAAAATATGCTAAAATAGCTACAAATATTATAACAAATATTAACAAATATTATTTACAAGTTTATTATGAAAGAAAATATTTTCAAGTTTATGAAATGATAAGATATCATTGATGAAAAGGATGTGAGTAACGCAATAAAAGAAAAAAAGTATAAAAACATAATAAATATTAATTATTTTTCAAGAAATATTTTACCATTCCTATGTTATTTCACCAATGCATACTTACAAATACAATTGAAAATCCTTTTAGTTATTCAATTACTTTTAAATAAGTTTTCAAAACAATAAAATTAATTCAACTTTTTATCTTTTTTTTTTTTAAAACAATATTTTTTTCCCTCCTATAATCAACTAATTTAACTAACCTTCCTTGTTGATCGATATGTTCACAATTAGCACCAACCATTATTAATAAACGAGCTACGTTTGTAAAACCTTTAGCTGCAGCAAGATGAAGAGCTGTTGCACCAGCATCTTCCACTTCCTGATTTTCTTATTATTATTATTATTATTATTACTATCATTATCATTGCTATTATTATTATTATTATTATATTATTATTATTATTATTATTATTATTATTATTATTATTATTATTATTATTATTATTATTATTATTATTATTATTATTATTATTATTATTATTATTATTAATTATTATTACTCTATTATCCGTGAATTTTTGCCTTTCTAAAAAAATTTGGGATTTTTGAAATCTATCAAAAAATGGCATGTTTTTTAAATTTTTGCATAATAAATTTGTCATATATATTAATTTTGCAGACAGTTAACTTTTAATTGCAATCTATGTGCCAGAAAAAAATTTAAACATAAATGAATGGAAAATTACGAAAAGTTTAAAATTCGAAATTTTGATAAATTCAATTTTTGCAGATATACGGATAAGGTTCGAATATTAAATCCAATTTTCATATTTCTAATACCGTATATGGCATATTTAACTGGTGAAATGTTTGGATTATCATCCATTTTAGCGTATGTTATTTATGAAATTTTAACAGAAATTTTTGATAAATATACCAAATAAAATGATAAAAACATTTCGCAAAGCAGCAATTATATAATTTTTTATTTTAACAAAAATTATTGAATTTCAAATTTTTACATTAAATTTCCAAATGATGTCATCTTTTTTTCAACTTTTACAATTTTACAATTTCATAAATTAAACAAAAAAACAGAAAAATTTAAATATTAGTTTATAAAAGTCAAGAGTTGAAATTTGAAATATGAAAAAAAAATGAATATCTGCTGTAAAATTTTACAAATTTCAATTTTTTTTTATCGACAAATGCAAATTAATAGATTTATACATTTGAAAAAAAAAAATATAATTTAAACATTAATTTATAAATTTTGAAATAAAAATAAATATTATAAAAGTGGAAAATTATTTTAAACAATAGCCTAACAACTATTGTAAAAATTTTACAAATTTCATTTTCTTTAAAATTGCTATAAATTTTTTTCAACAAATGCAACTTTTAATTTTTAATTATTTATTTTTTAATTTCTTTTTTTTTAATTTTTTTTTTTTTTTTTTTTTTTTTTTTTAGTAATTGTTGCTTGTGGTATGGCAATGAAACAATATGTAAAAGGTAATATTACAACAACAGCTGCAACATCTGTTAAATATTTCACAAAAATGTTAGCACAAATTTGTGAAACGGTAATTTTCATGTTTCTTGGCTTATCAACAATTTCTAGCAAACATCATTGGGATTTACCGTTTATTGCATTAACAATCATCTTCTGTTTGATTTATCGTAGCATTGGTAAGATATTTTTTTTTTTTTTGTTTTTTTAAATTTTGATTTAATTTTTTTTTTTTTTTGAAAAAATTAATAATAATATTTTCATAAAATATTATTTATTCATAACATTGTTTGTTTGTGTTTTCTTTTTTTTTAGCTTTAAAATCATTAAATATTTAAATTTTAGTTTTACACTTTAAAA